ATGTATATGGTCAGGCGCTCCGCGGCCCCCCGCCCCCCGCTCCCCCCCCCCCCATGGTCCATGGTCCAGGATGCCCCTCTCTCCCCCCCCTTCGTGCACTGTGGGGTGGTTGTGGGGCTTAGCTTAAGCTTTTGAGTTTGGGATTTAGGGCTTGGGGTTAAAGTATAAGGCTTCGGACAAGGGCTTAAGAAGGGTTTGGGGTGTAGGTTGGTTAGGGTTGACGATTCATGCTCTGCTGTAGGCTTAGAGCCAGGTTTAGCTCGGGTGTGGGGTACGGCTTCCCAAACAGCACACCGCACCCTCCAGCCGACCAGACCATACCATTCCCCCTCCCCTACCCCACCCTTACTAGACTATACCATCCGAGTGGGGGGGATGGGGTGGGGATGGGGGGTGGGGGGAGGGGCGGGACACCAGACGCCTGACCATGTATGTATGCATGTATGTATGTATGCATGCATGCATGTATGTAGTGTATGTAATGTATGTAGTGCATGTAATGTATGTAATGTATGTAAGGTATGCAGTGTATGCTATGTGTGTAAGTATATACATATCTGTATGTATGTATGCATGTATGTAGGTATGTACGTATTAGGTATGTATGCATGCATGTATGCATGCATGCATGTGTGCATGTATGCATGTATGTATGTATGTATGCATGTATGGATTTATGCATGTGTGCATGTAAGCATGTAGGTAGGTAGGTAGGTAGCTAGGTAGGTAGGTAGGTAGGTAGGTAGGTAGGTAGGTAGGTAGGTAGGTAGGTAGGTTCGTTCGTTCGTTTGTAGGCATGTATGTGTATATAAGACAGTATACAAAATAAAGTTATGCTCCCTCTCTCCCTCTCTCTATATATATATATACACACTTGCATACACGTACATTCGTTTGCGCAGTTTTGGTCAGTTGCATGGCAGGGTGTTGGCAGCCTCGGGAGCAGACGCAGTGTGCCTGCAGGACAGAAGGGCTGCGCTTGTACTGCTCGAGAGCAGCAGGTCCCGTGCTCTAGAATAGGGACACCGTTTAAATACTATAGATCCCTTTTCTACCCAAAGTCTTTTCGAAGAGCCCAAGTCTGTCGCGGATAGCAACTCCCGCCCCCGGGCAAGTCGCTCACATGAAGTATGCGGAGCAGGAGGAGGAGGAGGGGGAGGAGGAGGAGCAGGAGGAGCAGGAGGAGCAGCAGTACACGTAGGAGCAGCACCAATAGCAGCATCGGCGGCAGCCGGAGTAGCCGTACGAGCAGCAGTACGAGCAACCAGCAGCAGCAGCAGCAGGAGTGGCAGTAGAAGGAGTAGCAGTAGTAGCACCATCCAGACCGTCCTCGGCGTCGTCCTCGTCGCTCCCGGCCAGCAGGGAAAGGAGCAGGAGAGGAGCGAGAGTCACTCCGAAGATTCGTATGAACCACGCGGAGATGCCAGAAGGTAAGCCACAGGCACTGAGGTCGTACTCATGATCCTGTGCATATGTTTAGATATGTGTGTTTATACATGTCAGGAGCACTGGTTCGATCCAGAGCACCAGAAGGTCTATGAAGAGCTGGCGCAGAAGCATGGCTATCGTTGCCCGGCTTCTGCATGAAGCTCTTGGTGACAAGTTGAACCCGACAGAGCATCCTTTGGATTCAGTTGGAGCCAAGAGAAGTGCAGCCCCCCTTCCTGAGTAACCTAAACCCTAAACCCTAAGCCCCTAAACCCCTAAACCCTCAACCCTAAACCGCTAAACCCCTAAACCCTCAACCCTAAGGGGCCTTGGGAGCTGGACATGGGCTGCGGTTACACGGTTACAAAGTCATGTCCGGATGACTCTGGATTTTGGTACATTTAGTGTCAGAGCTTGTGGTGTAATTTGACCTCTGTGTCGGAAGGAGAGACAGAGAGTCGGCACCTGAAACCCCTGGCATCCCTAAACCCCTAATCCCTAAACCCCTAAACCCTACACCCCTAGGCTATGAGTCGCTGCAGCGCTCGGGTTGGAACTGCGATGGTCCATCGGAGGATGGCGTCTTGGCTCTTAGGGAGAGCTTCAGACTCTGGAGAGGTCTCATGGGTTTAGGGTTTATAGGGTTTAGGGGTTTAGGGTTTACTAATCGAATGCAAAAGCTTCGACACGCACGCTTTGTGCCCGGTCTTCTGGAACATTGAGGGGCGATGTTGCTTCAACATGTTGCAACAAGTTGCAGGTTTTGCCGATAGCCATGAAAGAAGAAGGCTGTGCTTGACATATGGTCACTATATCGTTAAATGCCCTGCTCACCTGAGGATCTCCGCGGTCCCCCTTTCCCTCCGTAGCAACCCCATTCTTAAGACTAAGCCTAATCCTTAATCCTTACATAGAACCCCAAATCCTCATCAAAAGCATTCCTAGATAAGTTACCCCTTTGTGGTCTGAAGTTTCCTATAGAAGCCGCCCTAAACCGTAAACACGAAAGTCCCACCAAGCAGGCATCGCCATCCTCGTGAAGAGTGAAACCTTCGATGTGGTGGAACGTCACGACGTCCACTTCCATGCCTACGGCATCCCACAGGTGGAACTTCGGGTTCAGGGTTTTGTGGTGTTTAGGGTTTACGGTACCCTAGAAACCCGCTTACCTGTAATGTATTGGGGATCTATACTACTTGTGCGAATGTGCAGGGATAGCAAGCTACTGCGCAGCTTCGGAGTTTTTGGGATTACAACGCACATGCATTTGCCTTCGTTTCACATGCTTTCATTGTCTCTTCAGGCCTTTGTCATAACCTGCATCGTGCCTCGGAGTCAGCACATCCTTGGAGTTGGTGTTTGCCAGGATCGTGTGGCACTGCTGCTCTGCCTGTCAGACCGCCGTCGTCCACGAGGAAGCAGCCATTGCCCTAGGTTTTGATTCATGAGGTGTTTCTTCTAAGTTACAAGTGAGCTTCTTCAAAGACGATCCTTCTTGAAAGCTTGGTAGTATGTCAAGTATGTGCCTGATCATGCACATGCCTTGCGATCCTATTCTGGAGCAGACCATGTACCCCTCCTTGTGGGCCTCCCCTCCCAGAAACCTGAAGTGGATTGTCTTTGCCGTAGAATCTGTCGAATACCCATAGGCTCCATAGTGGTTCCTTTTTGGGAGTTTACCTTATAGAATCCCAAAAATAAGCTACAAAAAGGGGCTACTATGGAGCCCATGGGTAGAAGAACCGATCCACGACCATGCGAGAGCAGGAATGCCGTAGGCGAGAGCAGGAATGTACAGAGATTGTGGCCGATGGATGTGTCAAACCGGGCTTCTCGAAGGAATGCGTCTACCCTACACAGGCAACATGTAAGTAATAGCGAATGTGCGGCGATAGTTGAACTTGTAAGCAAGAAGTCATGCCTAAGCTGAAGAGTCTTAGGCTCTCCGCCCCACGACAGGAGTTGCGCAGCTGGGAGTGATGTGAATCTCGACAGCATGGTTTCGGTGGCTGCTGTGCCTTCAGCAAACTGTGCTACGGTGTCATCAGGTTGCAGCATGACATCAACATATCGTCACATCTAGTATAGTCATGACAAGTAGTTGTTGTATTTTTGGCCTTAATCAAGAGACCCGTTCGAGAACGTGCGGTCTTGACCTGCTTCTGAGAGGGCTCTTAATCATCTTGACTTGCAGCTTCAGGCACGCACCTCACCTTCCCGCACTCACACTACGACGAACGTGCCCGAGAGGCCACGATTTTCGGATGCTGGGGTTTATCAGCTGCATGTATCTGGCCTGGCCACCTTGACAGGCACAAATCCTTGCTTGCCTAGACGCTTGTGAGAGGCACACGTCCCATCCTTAGCAAATCATGTGTCGTGATGTCATGCAATACATAGCATGCACGCCTCAATTTCTGCGTAGGAGTAGTGCCTTCTTTCTGCACCAGGCATGTAGCGATTCATGAGACATACTGAGCAGCTGCTCGTTTTCGATGGTATCGAGGCCGCCTGGCACACCGTTCGTATTTGCAGGAGCCCCTTGGACTCTACAAATGTCTCACCATGGCCATCTCGGTCTTTCAGACTGGCGGTTCACATGCAGCGTTGGAGTGGGATTTCGTCAGCCTCATCCGCAGCTTGCAGCAATAGAAGGCCACAGCCTCACTGCTGACCGCTCTATCTCTGCAGTCGGCATCTGATGAAACGGACCGGACAAGCCTGAACTTGTGCAGACATTTTCGCGCTGGCCTCATGTGGCGGGACACGCACTCTAATTTGCATAGCATCATGTAGCATGGGAGACTCCAAGATTTCTCAGTGCATGCAAGGACTTCAATGGCCCCAGCGACGATGCGGTCTCGGAACGCTTGAAGAAGGCGCAGAGACAGACACAGCAAGAGCAGGGACGAAAAAGAGCGAGAGGAGGGAGGGAGGGAGAGAGAGAGAGAGAGAGAGAGAGAGAGAGAGAGAGAAAGAGACGGAGATAGCAAGCAACAAGTTCGGCAAGTTCTTCAGGTATCCTGGGGGTTCTAGCCTAGTTATGTACCCTGTCGTTTGAGGGAAAAGAGTCGAAATCTCTTTCGGCCCTAAGCGAGCTGATGGGGGGAACCCCGCATCGGAGTGCTAGGACCCTGCCGTGACCCGCAGGTGCGAGCCCGCGCGCGACGGGGTAGGGCCGGTAGGGGTCCGCCTGCTCCCTCTGACTCTGTCAAGAGGGAGAGAGACAGACAGAGAGAGAGAGAGAGAGACGGAGAGAGAGCAAGTGTTGCCAAACGCCCAGCAAGCAAGCAAGCAAGCAAGCAAGCAACACTTTGTTGCCTTCAGGCATCGAGCATGTCGTCTGTCAAAAGTACTCCGTCCCGACCTATGTATTGGTCGCAGTAGCTGTATTCGTAATAGCAGTTGTAGCAGCAATAGTAGTGGTACTAGCAGCAGCAGCAGCAGCAGCAGCAGCAGCGGCAGCGGCAGCGGCAGCGGCAGCGGCAGCAGCAGCGGCAGCGGCAGCGGCAGCGGCAGCAGCGGCAGCGGCAGCGGCAGCGGCGGCAGCGGCAGCGGCAGCAGCGGCAGCGGCAGCAGCGGCAGCAGCGGCAGCAGCGGCAGCAGCGGCAGCGGCAGCAGCAGCAGCTGCAGCGGCAGCAGCAGCTGCAGCGGCAGCAGCAGCTGCAGCGGCAGCGAGAACAACACGCACTACGACGATGACGAATGCGACCGTGACAGCATCACCACGACGACGACGACGACGACAACGGCGACGACGACGACGACGACCATGAAGCACAACCGGCGTCGAAGACGACGGATTCGCAGGGATTGTGGCAAAGACGACAGCATGCGCAGCAGAAACCCTCACTGGCAACGAGTTTGTTCGAGTATTGAACCATTGAATCCTACTCCGTGGGCAGCCGAGCTCCCAGCGGAGCGAGCGGCAACTTAGGCAGCGGTTCGCGGACCCTGCATGTGAGATCCATTTGCGTGACGGAATTCCACTGCAATTACACCGATCCCAAACCATACAAAACCCTTCGTAACATCATGCTTATCAGGTTAACAACATGACACGCTTTTGCACAGCTTTCGCACCTCCTGCTCATGAGGCAGGATGGCCTCCTGCACCCAAGATGCATGCGCAAGCAATAACAAGGGCGAGTTGCAGTCAGAAATCTCAACATGCACGTGCTTCCTCCTGTAGGACAAAAGGCTTGAGGAGAAGAGCTCCCATCGAGAAACATCTCAGGAAAGCTGATAAAAGTGGCTTCTGCTTGTTGGCGACTGGGGGAGTCTCCGGAGTCTGGAACTAATGGGGTCTGCAACTGCCGGTGCTCTGCTTGGTGCTGCTTGCTGGTAACATCAACAGGAGCATGTGCTGGCCGGCACAGCATGGCATGGTGAATACTTCCCGTAGCTAGCCCTTGAGTGGGACGGGCGGAAAAAATGCCTGCGCCCTCACCGATCTCACCCGCTACTGGAACCCGAAATCCACGGTAAAGCTCTCTGGCATCTAATCTGCAGCACACTGGCCGCAACGCACTGGAAGCACAAGTACCTGGAGATACAAGTCTTTTGCCCACTGCGCTTGCGCATAGCTGCTTGCAAGACTCTTAAACCCTAAACCCTAAACCCTATCTAAACCCTAGGTTTCCGAGCAGTCGGCGTGGTTGTCCCGACCCCGCGCTTGTGCTTTGGAAGTCTCTCGCAGTAGGCCCACAATCTTCCACTAAGGGTCCATCACACAATCCCAATGCGCCCTAGCTCACTCACGTGTACCAATCAGCCTACCAGTGCAAAATGGTACAAACGCAATCCATCGTACAGTGATTTTTGCCCTCAAACTGGACAACAACTTGCACATCTGAAATCCTGATAAATGCGAAGTTCAACCGCGATGTTCCGATATCACCATCGTCATCATCATTGACATGGGGAAGTGGGGTCGGTTGGGTGGGTTGGGTGAATCCTAACATGCAAGAAAAGGAAATACCAGCAGAATCCTCTGTAAGATACATGCTTTTCGTTCCAAAACAGGACTGCAAGTTGCACATCTGCTATCCTGATTTCTAGCGGTTCTTCTTGTGATGATCATGCTCATGATGACGATGACGATGCCTATGTTAGTGATCATGAACATCATCATGTTGATGAACTGCAGAAACGGTCTGCACTGGTGAGGGAGACGTGTGCAGCAAAACAGTGAAAATACGCTTGGTGGAAGGGCCTGCTTTTGGGTTTCACAGCTAGTCTGCGACTTTCTGGGCCTTCACCCACCTCCAGCGCCTTCGATTTTTCACTTGCTGGCCGAGTCTTGGCCGTGATCTCGGAAGTTGACTGTGTACAGTGCACAGTCACTACCACGCGAACTTCAAGCTTCTCGCCACCAGATCTTCGATCACGTTGCATGCAACATCATGCAGGACAGCAGGCCCCAGCGCAACATCATCACCGTTGGTCAAGCAAAGGCTACACGGCAAGTACATGAAAGGGTATCATCACACTTTAGCCTGCCCGATCTGCCAATCGAATGCACAAAGTAGCTGACAATGCCGGAAACTTCCCCAGCATGCGCACTGACAGCTGCAATCAAATACCGTTCTGAATGCGGAACTTTGCCCCCAAATGTGATGCCTCTGCTTATGAGAGGCATCTTCCCCTGCAAGGCCGCATCAAAGCGTCGAGATAAGGCAGGACTCAAAGCGAGGACTCGAGCGCCTGGTATGGTATGCAGGATGTCAAGTCGTTTTGGCCTGTTGAGCCTTCTTGGAGAAAGGAGGTCTCCTATATTCTGAACGATCTCGGCCTTGTACACTTCGAGCACTTTCTGGTACGGGATTTGTTGCTTGCACATTGCCTGCAGGATGCAGCCACCACAGCGAGAGAGAGAGAGAGAGAGAGAGAGAGAGAGAGAGAGACACGCAGACACACACACACACAGA